ATGACATTTTCAGGGTTCTCTAACATTTATCTCTATACTCCAGTCTAATGAGGCTACTCTTTACCCTTCAAATACACACTGTGCTTTCCTTTGTTTGGAACACAGTTCAGGCTTATGCCCTCTTCCTTCCCCTGAATTCCTCACCCTTTAAAACCCAATTCGAAAGCCATATCCTATAGGAAACCTTCCCTGATTTCACCAGTCAGTCATGATTTGCCCTCAGCCCTTTCTTTGCACTTTGTTGCAGTATGTTGTAGAGGAAAGAACACTGCATTTGAAGGTAGTATAAGTCTGGATTATAATCCTGACTCTGACACTCACTAGCAGTGTGAACATGGGCGCCTTGCTTACCTGGAGGCTCAGTTTCCTCATCTGTAAAATGGAGATAATAATGGTCCCTATCTCATGGGGTTGTTCTATGTATCCAGTGAAATAATATGCGCAAAGTACTTTGCAAATCTTAAAAGTGTTATGTAAATGTCAGCTATTATTATTATAGCTGCATGTGTCGATGTCCTCTCCCTGCTAGACTATAAATTTCTTGAGGAAATAGGCTGGGTCTTATCTAAACCTTGTATATCACCTAGACTGAACATAGTGCCCTGCACACAGCAGACTATTAGCAAATGACTGTAATATATAATTATTCTCAAGCTAACAATGAGGAAGATGCTTAATTATGCTTTTAAAGAAGATTCTACTAATGGTTTAGGATGAGGAAAAGACTACCCTACTCAGTGATACATGAGGCACACATAATTATCCAATTAATTTCCACTGTCATAATTAACAATATTTGCCTTCTTTACTTTTAACCCAACAATCAGACCAATAGAAAATAAATTTTGTTGTATATTATCTCTCTTTGCTTATTTGCTCAGTGAGTTAAAATAAGGTTTTTCTCTTCCATTTTTAAAATATGCAGTTCTTCTAATGCCTTATAAAAACATAATATCTGGAGAAAGGAAAACCACAATAATATTAATTCAGCCAAAATAGAACTGAGTAAGATACTTTACTATACAAAAGAACGCAGAAATTTTTTTTTGCTGATTTGCTAATGCCACTTAATAGTCCACAAAGAAAAACTAGATGAGCAATATTAAGAAAATCTGAAATAAATTATTCCAATATTTACATGGCTTCATGAAACTATGCAAATAAGGTTAAACCTACGAATTTTTCTGATTATAATCTCAAAAACAGGTTGACCACATTCAATTAATCAAAATATTTACATTTCTGAAGAAGGCATTCAAGGTTCTGGTACAAATTGATATATTCAGAATGTTAAACTATTTGCCCATAAAAATGGAACCAAAATGTAAGAAACAACTAAGAACTACATTAAATGAGCAAAGAGAATATAAAAAATTGCATATCTACTATTTTTCTTCATGTTATTTTAATTAATATTTTAAAAATTAGTAGAAAAGCTCAGAAGGCATGGCAAGAAGGTGAAAATTTTATTTTCAGAAGTAATGCCTCATGCTGAAATGTCCAATTAAAATTTCTATATACAACTGAATTCAAGTGTAATTTTTTGCTATGAGCTTTCCATTGGATGTCCTCTCCACACTTCCAGTCAGCATAGGGCAGCAGCTGGTGAAGTTGGTTCTCCAAACTGCAGAGTATGTCACAAAAGAAAATTTGCAGAGAAAAAAAGCCACTCTTAAACACTTGAAAATGAACAAATTTCCCCTTTTGGAGTGTTTCAAGGATTCTTACTTTGATTTTTTTTCAAATTTATTGGGCAATTTTCTCACCAAAGTAGTGCCACATTTTGTCATATTTATAAAAAGGACAATCTAAAATGATGCAGGAGCAATGTTTTCTTTACAGCACATGGCAAAAGGCACATTTTCTTGCCTCTCAGGCCTTAAACCAATGAGAATATTTTGATAGCAATTTCAGTACCAATCTCAGAATCTCACCAAAACCAAGTGAGACACAGGAAAACTGTCAATGGCATTTTTCTCCTTTGGTAGATCTGGCCAACAACATGGAGCAGTCAGTTCCCCTTGCCCAGAACTTCACATCCTATTCTTCAGATTGCTTGTTCTGGAAAAATGTATGATCCTTGAACTAGACTCACCCACAAATAGTAGATAAAAATGGACTCTAAATTCATAAAATACCATACCAGCCAAACCAGCCAAGGACAAGATAAAAAGACTTAAGCACAATTCCCCATCAGGAAATCCTGACTTCTTGATGCCAAGTATTAACACACATCTTCCTCCTTAGGGATCTTTTCCTTTTCTAATAGAGACAGTTATAGTTTATAGAAAATCAAAACAGACACAAACATGCTTCTAAAGGAAAACTGCAAATAATAGCCTGTATTCATTACAAGTCCTGAAATAAATATTACATGTCTCTGTACTGTCCCCTTGACACCCTCCCACACATTTGCCACTATGTACAGCACTGGAGTATTAGTTTAGTAACGTTATTCTCTTCTCCCTCTTTACCTTTGCTCTACATCTCAAAACCACCCCACAGTTTCACCCATCCTCTCCTCTGTGAAGAAAAGGAGGCTATATTCCTTGTTAAAGCTAACCCCTTTTACTTGTGCCTTCAGGCTCACCTGCTCCCATATCTTCTGGGAGCCTGTCTCATCAATTATTTCCTCTTGTTCTCTCATTGTCAGTCTCTCCCCCTCTGTTGGCACTGCTATAAATATGCCTAGATCTCCCTATTTTTGAAAACAAAACAAAACAACACACAAGAAATCTTAAATGTGGCCAGGGCTTCGATCCTACATTTCTCCTCCCTTTTAGTATCTGCCTGCCCTCTAGAAAGAGCTGTCCACACTTAGCTCCCTTCAATTCCTTATCACTCACCTTTCTATTGAAATGGTTCTCTTCAAGATTACCAAGCATCTCTTAACCACTCTTTGCAGCTTTCCTCTCCATCATTGCCTTTTTTAAAAGTAGTGCTGTCTTTATTGTTATAACAGAAAGGGGAATCAAGAGGAGCTTTCACACAAAAGAACATAATGCTTTACAGTTTAAACAGTATTTTTATATCACCCACCCTGATTCCTGCCATGTACCCAACTCTTTATGAATTGAGGCTGGAACTTCATATCTTAGATTCTTGAAAAAGAAATTATCACTTTTCTCTATGATATTCTTCTGATCCCCTTCAACCATCCACAACATGCCAATTAACATAGAAGTTAGCATCAAACAAAAAAAGGACTCTGGATGTCATTTAACTGCCACAAAGCCTAGGCATTTGACTTGTTGGAGAGACAGGAGACACAGCCACACTTAGGCCAGACAATTCTACATAGGCAGCAAATTAGAAGCAGAAACATTCTTACAACAGTTAGAAGTGACAAAGAACAGTGAACAAACAGTAACGAAAGAATGGTCAGCATAAAAGCATAACAGTTTAGGACCGCGTGGAATGGAGATAAATAATGCTATATGCCTCAGGAGCCCCAGAGGGCAACACTGTGTTACAAAGCGATGCTATCATTGACGTCCATACTGAAGAACCCACATCACCAAAAAAAGGTTAAGTAATATTTAGCACATATCATCTTGGACATTAGGGAAGTGTGGGAAGATTCCCATCAGAAATTGTGGATGTGATGGCAAATTTCGTTATATTAAAAGTATAAGTTTTGGTTATTTGGAAAATTCATTCTTGTGGGACAGACACTCCATCCCCTGACAATGCCAGACAAATGAGACATCCCCAGCTTCACTTCCTAACACAGAAAATCACTGACTGCCAGAAAAGCTTAGTAAGAGACAATAGGAGCAAATCCATTGAATTCTAGGATAGGAGAGATTGCATATACCTAAACATTGCTTTTCACTGACTATATTTTAAGATAATTTGAAACAATGAAATATTTTTTCAAAATGTTAAAATCAGCAGGAAAACTGTAAACTTTTATATGTCTCCTCTGTGCCATAGGCAACGGTAGGATGGCAATAGTCATTCATATACTCAGACAGTATTTATCAGGTACCTAGTAGGCACAAAGCACTATGTGGGATAAAAGAATGAACGAGCTACAGGTCCTACCCTTGAGGAACTTGTAATCTGTTAGAAGGGAAAAGATGTATATGATCCAAGACAACTCCGAAGGACTTACAATGAAAAATGCTATCTATCCCCTGAGAAAGAGCTGGTGGTGTCTGAATACAGATTGAAGCATACCTTTTTTACTTTATTTTCCTTAATGTTGGGTTTGGGGTTTTTTTTTTTTGGTCTATGTTTTCTTTCACAATATGGCCATTATGGAAATGTTTTGCATGACTACACACGTATAACCTATATCAAATTGCTCGCCTTATCAGTGAAGGGAGGTGGGGAGGGAGGAAGGGAGAGAATTTGAAACTCAAAGTTTTAAACAATTTTTACACGTTAACTGGGGGAAAATAAAATACCAATTTTTTAAAAGATATATATATATATATATATATATATATATATATATATATATATAAAGATTTTTGAAAAATGATATTTTTCATTCTTTAAGCTTCATATCAAATGTGTCATTTTCTAATCATATTTTTGGGCATTTTTATCTTCATAATACTTTGTAACAACAATCAAAATCATACCTCACAGAAAAGGCCAACACATAGTTGTTACCTCTAAATAGCCTAGCTGTACAAAGATGTGGTTTTATCTTGAATTTAATTTTTAACACATCTCCCCACCCACAGAACACAGCCAAAGACAATAAAAGAAAAGGCCAAAAGATGGAAAGCAGAAGGTAAAAGGAGAAAGATTTATAAACTACATCATCTATGCCTGAACAACTTAGAGAGAGCTGCAGCAGCCACATTATTTTCCGCTACCTCTTATTTCACACCTAGCACAACAAACAAATGGCAGAAGCTTTATTTAAAATATAATGAAACATATAAAAATATGTGCATTTAAGAAATATATAATACCTTTGAGGAATTCCAATCCCAGGTGTTGGCAAGCCATTTAAAAATAAGGATGTAAATAAATGTCCTTACCTTGCTTTGGAATAGTTTTGGCTACAAGGATGCCAAATCCATTTAATTGTAGGTTGGGGAACACCATAAACAGTACAAGTCAGGCTCTGCTGGCTACCCAATGGGTAGAGATTAGGGTCTGGGAATGATGACACAGCTTTTTCATAAATTTGGGGTTTCACTGTAAAGGATGAAAAACAAGACAAGTTAACAATTCCTATAATCACGTTCCCCTGGGCCACAGGATAATAAGACCTAATGATAATATCGAACATGTATATAGTGCTTTAAGATTGCAAAGTGCTTTCCATATATTCTTTCACTTGATACGTGCTGATATGTGATCTCACTTGACCCCTCACAACCACAACACCTGTGAAGTACGTGTAACTATTAGGATTACCTGTAACATTCCCACTGGTTGCAAAATCAGGGAAAACAAGAACAACCACCTAACAATAAAACTCTTACACCTTCCAGATAATGTGTGGTAAAAGGAAGTCTGGGTAGGTTCAAGCAAGATTTTTATAAAGTATCAACACATTTAAATGTTTCTTTTGATTTGTTTCCAACCAGCTAATTAAAAAAAGCAATAGGAAACTTACCATTTACAATGAGAGTGGTTGTTAGATTTTGGAATATTTTTGCCATTTTTAGGCTCAGTAAAATTGTATAATCTCCTGCATCTTCTTCTGCCACATCCTTGATAATCAGTGAATAGCCATGGGCCACGTATCGAGCACATTTCTCAGTAGCAGGTAGCCCATTCTTTAACCTGTGATTCAGAGAGCTGTCATTAGTAAGGTCCCAGCTGACCCTATGACTTTAGTTCTGTAATACCAAAGGCTAAATTTGTTCATGAGCTCCATGATCAAGTGTGTCTCCATGTCTATACGCTCTGAGCCCTGGACAATGGACACATTGACCAAGAGTTGGTCAACTCAAAGCTTGTTAGGAGCCTCAAGGAAATTCAGTCAAGCTGCTTCTGCACAACATTCTCTTGCGGACCCTCATCACTCCTCTCTGTTGCTCGAAAGGTGGCACACTGAACATCAGAGACCAGCTTCAAGGCAATTGTACTCAACTATCCAGCCTTTTCTTCTGGAGCCCTTGTCTGAGTGAACACTTCTATGAGACATTAACCATTTTACTCTGTGATATTTAACCTGTTTCTGTTACATCATGCAAAGCATTTGACAGATGACAAAATAAAGGAATGGATCCTTCTTTTCTCTTCATTCAGCAATAAGTTCCACAACTATGTAAATGCCACTATGCTATTGAGGGGAGACACTTGTAGGATTCAGAAGTGAATAAGGTGAGATCTCTACCCTCAAGTTAGTAGGAGAAACAATATACCTGAGTAACCATGGTACACAGGGCTGGTCAGGATAAGTGTCCAAGAGAAGAGGGAGGTTTTAAAGGACAGGAGAGGTGGAGGCAGATTGTTGTGGCTGAGGTGTTGGGGGAAGAGTCTGAAAGAAGGTGGCTTTGAGTTTAGCTCTGAAATAGAAGATTCTGATAGATGGAAATGGGGGGAAAGCGCATTCCAGGCTGAGGGAATGGTGTAAGTGAAGCAGAAAAGGATAAAGTATGTATTGGGAGTGGAGAATAATCCAGTTTGAATGTGTAATAGGGTACGTGTAGGGAAATAACAGTAGGTGAGGCTAGAAAAGGTGATTAGGACAGATTGAGGACAAACATGAATTCTGGTCTGAAGAGTACATGCTTTAATTTCTCGAAATTGGAAGCCATTGAAGGTTTTTAAGTGGGGAAAAGATATAATTATAGCTATGTTTTAGAAGATTAAAAAAGACTAATTTGTGGTATAGTACACAGAGGGCTGGTTTTGAGTTAGGAAGAGCTGAGTCCAAGTCCCAGACACACATACCAGCCCACAACTCTGAGCAAGTCTCTCTGTCTCTGTCTCTTTCTCTCTTTGGCTCTTTCTTCTCCCTCACCTTCCTTTCTTTCTCCATTTTTCTCTCTCTTCCTCATCCTGTCGTCTCTCTCCCCTATCTATCCTCTTTCCTTCTTCCTCTCCCTCTTTCTTTTTTGTAAATGATTATCTCTCTAACCACATATTTTCATCATTTACAACTAAGTTTACTAGGTGTAAAGCAGCTGTAGATTTGTAGAGGCAGTTAGGTGGTTCAGTGGATAGAGCACAGGGACAGGTGTCTGGAAGACCTGAGTTCAAATGTGGCCTCAGAGCTGCTGTGAGAATCAACTGAGATAATATCTGTGTTGTACTTACCACAGTGACTTACACATAGTAGGCACTTAATAAATTTTTATTTCTTCCTTCTGATCTGAGCATTTGCAGTGGGAGTTTACTCACCAGGAGTATTCTACATCCATGAACACTCAGGTCAAGTAAAAAAAAAAAGAATACCAAGTGGTGGAATGTGAGATGAATTGGTGGAAAGAGAGACAATATAGTTGGGAAGCTACTATATAAAAGTAGACAATATGAATTCAAGTTTTCTCATTCAGTATTAATTGGTTTAAGAGACTGTTTTTACTAGTAACGTCAATGGCCATTTTAGCAGTACCCATTATTTATATATTTCTATAGTACACTACTATTTAGTTTTTACCCACATAGAGATAATTTGGTTGGGTCACATATTCCGAAGATGGTTGGGGAACAGCAGTGGCCAACAGTAAGGATAGAGTATATTTTTTAAATTCCTCATTTCAAATAAGGAGGCAACGCCCCCAGTGTAATTATCATGCATTGTAACGGAAAGAGCAGTGTACTAAAAGTTAGGAGACCAGAGTCCTGGTTTGGGTTTGGCAAATAAGTCTGTGGGTCTCTGCTTCCTTACCTATAAAATGAGAGAACTGGCCTGAGATGATCTCCAAGCACCTTTCAGATCTACAACGCTGTGATTCTACCAAAATGTTTAGTTCTACAACGCATTGTACATATGTCCTAGGATAGTCTGTCACTTTGGTGTCATGCGAAATGTCTTGTAACCCAGTATGTTAAGAATTTACTGCTCTGAATAACTTAGAATCCTGGAATATTTATCAATTCATAATTACCTTTTGTACATTACACAGATGGAAATAAATTCTTACAACTGAATGCCAGTACCGAAGTTATTAAAATTTATTAATCTCTATTTTATAGCTAGCCAAGTCCACTTAGTTGGACTATTAATTACCCCCTGTTGCTTACTAAAGCATATTGGAAGAGGCATTAATTTTTTCAAGTCACTAGGACACCATTTAGTTACTGTAGAAATGTAGCACTTGTATCCAAAAAGGCTTAAGGCACCTCCCACATTATTAGGTAGGGAAGAGGATAAACATTTATACTGCATCTACTACATGCTTGGCACTGTGCTAAGTGCTTTTTACAAATATGATCTCATTTGAATGAGACATGATTGAGGTTACTATCTAGGAGAAATTGAAAATAAGAGGAATTTGTTATTTAAACAGAGTAGCAAAACAAATTAACTTTGATTTAAAAAAGATACTGGGGAACAAATTAAACTTGGCTTCACTGAAACAATTAAGAAAACATATAATATTTTCAGTTTAATATTCCCTTTTAGCTTCCTGTATAAACTGCTGTAAATATAGCGGGGAGAGGATTTTTTAAAATTTAGAAGTCTACATTAATGTGATTTTTGAAGCAAAAATGGACTGAGGAGAACTAGCTCCTATTCATGTATTCATGCTTCCCTAATAGGTCTGGCAACAATTCCTTTGTCAAAATGTAATGGTTTGAGCCAAAGATATTGGCATCAAACATGATTTAACAAGATAACTTGAGAACATAAATAGATTACATTGTTTTATATAAAGGTGTTGGACTGAAGTTAAAAAAAAAACAAAACTAACACTGCTTCAGGGTTTCTGAATATTCTGTCTTTGAGCCAAAAAAATAACTAGTTTAAGTAGGGAATTCAGTCCTCCCTTGAAAATGAATTGCTCCAGCAATTCTACCAATGTTGGTTTTACTTTAAAATTAGGTAATTAACTCACATTTATACAGCACTCTAAGGTCTGCAAAGCACTTTACATATATAATCTCATCTGATCCTCACAGCAAATCTGTGAAGTAGGTGCTATCATTACCCTCCTTTTACAGATGAGGAAACAGGCTCAGAAGGATTAACTTCCTTGCTTAGTGTTCTACAAGCTGGTAAGTGTTTGAGTCTGGCTTTGAACCCAGGTCTTCCGACCTTCCAAGTTCAGGTCTCTATCTACTATAGGACGTTACTACTCCGGTTTAAATATTTGACTATGCCAAATATAAAATAGAGAAAAGTCTATTTTCTTCAGAATATGGGTTATGATAAAATCATTGATTAATACATACAGCACAAGATTTACAGATAAACAGAATGAAGCTAACAGGCTGAGTGAGCAGAAAACAAAACAAATGATGACTGAAGAAATATAACTAATCCTTTGACCCAGTCTTTATCCCACTTTCCTCTTTATCCTTCCCCTTCTATCTCTATGTAGAGTCCAGTTCCCAGCTTACTAAAGTTGCCTCGGAGTGACTTATCTTGGTTTTTTCCCCAGGAAGTTAAATCACTGAGCTTTGTGCATTCCCCTACCTACAAAATGGCTTTTAAACTGATACGAAGAATAATTGTGTTCCTACCATACAACCTCTGGCGAGGGAAATGCCTTCACTTTCATAGAAAGCCGATAGGACCGCTTGCCTGCAATTGTTTCAAGCGCCTGCTGTTTTCGATGTTTCACGGTGATAAATGGTTTTTCTTTAAAGAAGAAGTGATTGACATATTAGTAAAAGTTATATTTATTTCAAATAAGCTTAGTGTTTTCTTCAAGGAGGGTACAGAAAGGAATCAGCAAATAGATGCTGAGACGATGAATCAGCACAAATTCTTGTGGTCAATATTTGTAACAATGGCGATGTTATATGTATACAACCCCTTATTGCACTCTCACATACATTACCTCATTTAATCCTCATCACAAAGCAGTGGAGATTACTTATCAGGGAAACATCCGAGTTTCTTTTCCCTCTGTCTAGCAAAACGGATCTGATTTGTTCTTTTAAAAAAATTCATTTTATTTTCTATGCATGGAATAAGACAAGCATTTCTATAATAGTACAATAAAAAAGATGATCTGAGCATGAAACTGAAAAGCTACTATTTGTTCTATTTGTTCTTAATGGAAGAGGTCATTGGCTGTACAGAATTTAAATAACCTAAGGGCAGAAAGCAGCCATGGACAAAAAATAAGCGAAAATCTTGAACTACTGATACCATCACAGCAGAAAAGTTAGTAGACATTTCTGGGCAACAATTTAAAGGAGGCAAGGAAACAATTGTTCTGGGAATCTCTGGACAACTGATAGGAAATCAAGAGATTGGATGGAAGAGAAAGCTAAACTGAGAATTAAGGGATGGCTTTTCTGCTCTTCTCTTTTGAGTTCTTCCACCCATCAGCAGAAATAGAATGAGAAAAGAGAATGGATCTCTTTTGCAGGGTCCTAATTGTATTTAACTTGAAACTCTTCTATTTGGGGACTTAAAAAAATAAGATAAGATTTCTACAAAAAAACCCTTAAGTTGAAATGATTTAGTATTACTTTTAAGTAAAAACTCATTACTGTATCTTTTTAGTTTTGTGATAACTACAATATGGCCAAGGAAATCTTTGCATAAACAATATAGGACAAAACTGATATTTCCTTTTGTTTCATTTCGATGATTTCACAAATGATTAAAATATTTCGTGTGCATATTTTTAGCTGAATTTTTCATGTAGAATTAACAAAAGAAAAAAGTCATTCTGCTCAGTTCAAAGGTATCACATTTTCAAGAATGTTGAATGCTATTTTCATATGCTTTTACACTAGCAAGCTTGTATTTATTAACATCAGCATGATTCACTGCCAAAGGAAATATATACTAGTTCTATAGATAAGCAAAGATGTGTGGTGGCCTTTCTGAAACATCTCTTACCATATACATGTACCGTCGTATTAGCAGATTTGAAGGATGGTCCACTCTGCACCTGACACACATAAAGTCCTTTGTCTTTGCTTTGTACTTTGTCAATTATAAGAGTGCTGTAAAATACATTGGCTTGGGAATTACTTGGATCAAACCGTGGAGTTATAGAAGCTCTATTATTTGCCTAGAGAGACAAAGAGTGATTTAGATACAACAGTAGTATTTAATAATGTACAAATTAATAAACACATACTATTCAAGTATAGGATTAATTTCACTATGTTTTATTAGCTCTTTTTTTTTGCTTTGCCAATGGGTGACTTTATTTATTTATTTTTGTAACAAATAATAATTTATTTATTTTTAGTTTTCAATTATTAGCTCTTTTTTAAGGAGCACATTTAGGTGTTGAGGGAAATGAGGAACGTAAGGAAGTAAATTCAGTTAAGTCTAAATAATACTGTTAATAGAACTGATAACGTATGGTTATTATTGCTTTGCTCTGTGAATCTAACAGTTTCTTTCCAATCATATTCAATGGGTTTGGGAGGATTATGCAGCCATTCAGTAGGGTCCAATTGCCCTGGGCACACAACACTTGACTCTTTCTGAGGTCCAACTACTCAGACTCTGAGCAGGGCTGTTTTCTTCTCCTTTCTCAATCCCTGTCTTTTATATTCTTTTCCATATATATAATCTTTAAGATTCCACTTTACAAAAAGAAGAGGCCATTTTCCCTACTAATGGCCTCGCACTGAAAAATTTTAGGAAGTAGTCCAGCTGATTCTTTGGGCACCATCTTGTCCCCTTTCACACCCTTCAAGCTAGCTGTCCTTTTCACTCTCCACTGGAACAAAGACAAGGTTATCTTCAGGCTCTTTCATTCATTTTTCAGGACCTTTTCTCAGGACTGATCTGAGAAAAAAACAATCTTAACTCCAGCCACTAAAAGTCAGGACAGAACCTTCAAGACTCTAAAATGATGGGACTAAAGGCTAAGGAAAACCCCAAAGTTCTATTTTATGGTGCAAAAGAGGCATGTGGGTGGCATAGTTCATTCAGCCTAAAGTCAGGAAAACCTGAGTTCAAATCCAGCCTCAGACACTTACTAGCTGCATGACCTTTGGCAAGTCACTTAACCTCTCTGCCTCAGTTTCCCTATCTGAAAAATGGGGGTAATAATAGTGCCCACCTCCTAGGGCTGTTTTGAGAATTAAATGAGATATCTGTAAAGCACTCTGCAAACCTTAAAAAGCTATGTATATATGTTAGCTATTACCATTATAATCATTTTTATAAATGGCTTCTCTCCTCTTATTCTCCTTCCTCTAAATTTGTTTTATATTTATGTAGTTTAGTTTGTAGGCTTATTGGTAGAGGACTGTACTAATTCCATATTTTGGAAAACTGTTGGACTCAGTAAATACTTACTATTTTTATTACTTCCAATAGAAACACAAACAGGATATTTTTTTCTCTCCCTCCTCTCATCTTGGTGATGCAATCAGATGTACAGAGAACATTCAATAGAATGTTATTGATTACTCTACTAGCCTAAACTCCTAATTTTACATTAAAGGAAACTGAGGCTCTCAAGTGACTCACTCAAAGTCATAAAACAAGTTAATGGAAGTACCGGAAACATAACTCGGGCCCTTAGGATATATCCTGGGAAATATGCCATTCAATTTCTAAAAGTTAGTGACTCAGATGAAGGTATCAGGGTATGCCCAGCAAATTTGTGGATGGCACGAAGCTGGGAAGAATTACTCTGAACAACAGAAATGGGATGCCAAAAAATCCTAGTGGGCTAGAACAATGGGCCAAATCTAATAAAGATGGAATTGAACAGGGATAAATGTAAAGTCCTACACTAGGATTCAAAGATTCAACTGCAGAAGCACAGATTGGGGAAATGTCTTAGACAAGGGTTCACATAAAACAAGACTTAAGTAGACTAAAAGCTCAATATAACTCAACAATATAAGTCAATAATGGGGCATTTCCAGCAGAAACATGAATCTGATCTTCAGGTGAGTCAAAGTGTTTATACTGAGGGAGCTCATAGTATGTCTAGAGTATTATGTTTAGCATTCAGTAGCATGATTTAGGAAGAACACTGACATGCTGGGAGTTCATCCAGAGGAAGGTGATCAAGATAGTGAAGGGGCTGGAAGATGGAATGCTGAGCCAGGAGAAAAGAAGACTTAATGGAGACATGACAATGTTCTTCAAGTGTTCAAAGTGCTGTCATGAGGAAGAATGATGGAGACTTGTTTTGCTGGGCCCCAGATGACGGAATTAGGAGTAATGGGGAGATATCGCAGAGGCAAGTTTCTGATCCATATAAGGAAAAACTTAACAGTCAGAGCACTCCAGAAATTGAAAGGGGTTTCTTGCATAGTGAGTTCCTTATCACTGGAGAACTTCAAAAAGAGCCTACAAGACTCCTTATGAAAGGGATTCCTGTTCTGATATAGATTGGAAGGATCACCTCTGAGGTCCTTCCGTGATTCTATTTCACTCAACACTAGGAGAATACTCATATGAATTACAATCATTTTATTTAATTGAAATGATGACATTTCCTAGAAAACAACCAGTATTGTATCCTCTCCATTTTCTACTTTAAAGGGTGGATAAATTCCTAGTTTGAAAACTGCAGGGCATTTGTCATACTTTTTTGTTGCTAAGCTATTATGCTTTTATGGAGAGAAATATTGATGAAAGAATAGCAGTAACTAGAGGCTCATTCATGAATATTTCATAAAGAATGTAATCATAAGTGAATAAGCATCCGAGTGATGTAAAAAGTGGACATGCCTTGGATTATGACACCTAAATCTTCCTGCTGAGAAAATTGGTGGCTAGAAACCCTGAGTTTTTCTCATTGGCCTTCTTTGTTGCCATTGAGTTATTTTTCAGTCATGTCCAACTCTTCATGACCCCATTTGAGGTTTTCTGGCAAAGATACTGGAGTGGGTTCGCTATTTCCTTCTCCAGCTTATTTTATAGACGAGGAAACTGGGGCAAACAGGGTTAGGTGACTGGCCAGGGTCACAGAGCTCGTAAGTATCTGAGGCCAGATTTGAACTCATGAAGATGAATCTTCCTGACTCCAGGTCTGCTGCTCTATCCAGGCCACCTTGCTGTCCCAGTCCTCTTTGACTATCAACTAAATTGTCAATTTTTAAAAACTGATTTAACTTGGATTTCATATTAGTTATTATTTTAAATTACAATTATTTGCAAAGATTTCCCAAATCAGGAGCTAATAGAGAACACAATTCAAGATCATTCTTGACATTTTCTTTTTTTTTTTCAGCCAAAGACAAGGTTTATTAAAGATCTGCCACATTAGTCAGACTCTCAAGGAATCTTAGCCTTCATATCGCTAATGCAAACGGGCCAGATCTTAAGAATCTAAACCACCATTTTCTAAAGGAAAGCATTTTTTCTTGACACTTAACAAATGAGATCTTGGATTGCTGAATTGTAATATCTTTTCTAAACATGCTTCAGTCAGGTGCCTGACTGTCTGCCAGTCTTTTAAATGAATTTGCTGACAGAAACAACCTCCTGAAAACTTTTCTTTTTTGTTACTAAAGACATTCCCTGCTTGGCTTCTAGTGATAAATTTCCCTCTCATCTCTAAATCCTAGAGAACAGTTTCCAAAGAAAAAAGAATCCTTGCATCTACCCAGTGTCGTGCGGCAGGAATACCAGTCTGATTATCAAATTACGGCAAAGTTGAAAAAAAAAACCAATTCACAAATCTTGTTATATATCAAAAGAACATACGTATGAGTATTGCAATCAGGGAATGCCAAGCAAGGTAAAATAAGTTTCTTGAATGTTTATGACTGTTTTAGAAATCAATATATTTTAGTAAGTTACAAAGATCTTCCTTATTTCTTTTTTCTTTTATTTCCTCTCAATTTTTTAACATTCATTTTTTAAAATTTGAGTTCCAAATTCTTTCTCCCTCTCTCTCCCAGACCCTGTTCCTTTGGAAAGCAAACAATTTGATACAGATTATACGTATGAAGTCATGCAAAACATATTATCTTGTTTATTTCCTTAAAATGGTTTTTGTTTACAGATTTTAAAAAATATCGTAGAGGAGAAGAAATAGACAAATTATTAAGTTTACTCACTTCACCAGGATAATTCCAAGTCATCTGAACTCTGGTGTTCCAGGCAGCAGTCACAGTACAATTGAGGGCAAGAGTCTGACCTTTCAATAATTTGATTGGATTTGGTGTACTTAACTGGACATCAATGATTGTGTTGTCTGCAAATGTGTCAAAGAAAACAAGATAAATTATGTCGGAAAGCCACACATGGTGCTTTATTATCACGGCCATACAGCATCACTCACCTTGTCGATATGTTAGATAATTTGTGCTGTATAAATGGCCATTGACTGTTGTTTCACAGCTCAGAAGTCCTATAAATCTGTATGTTGGCTTGGGTATAATAAAACCCCTCTTATTGTCCCAGATTATTGTTTCCCATCAGGAATCAGGGTCTTCATATCAGGAATCTGAAACTGAAGAGATACACCCACAAAATTATATTTGGATATAGTGACAGTATTATTGTGTCAAGATTATTTTCATATAAAATTAAAGCATATAAAATGCTTTATTAGTTCTTTAGGATCCAATGAACTTGGTGCATGTGCCCATTGTGAACAAAGCAGTTATGTCAAAATTTCAGTTGATAGTCCAAAATCCTTTTGCTGATGGGAATATTCGCAAAAACTTGTCCTTGTAGAACAACTGAGAAACCAATTTGCATATTTTTTTTAAAATTGGGGCTGCCAGATTATCCTCATTCATCTTTACCACCTGGGGCTTTTTTAAGAAGTCATGATTTATCTTCACCACTGAAGTTCTTCCATTTTGGAGGTTTAGCTAAGTCCAAGTCTTAAAAAATCCATAACATTCCATTTGCAATCAATGGGTCAAACACTCTACAAATCACCTATAGCTCATAAGGAAAAATAGCAAAAAGCATCAACTGTGCACTTAAAGGGGAAACCAGTGAGCATAAAGAAAGCCAAGAGGAGATTTAAAAAATGAATGAAATTCATTATAAATGAAACTTTCTCCAAATTCCTTTTCAATACTCAGTTTATAATAAGCATAAATATCTGGTTTTGATCTGCCTAGCCCAAACCTAGCAATGAAAAAAATAAAAACTGTGACTCTCCCAACCCCACATATATAAACTTTAAGCAGCTTATTACTCATTTCATATTTTTACTTAATTTTTAAAAACTGATTTAGTTACTGGAATTGCTTTATTTTACTCCTAAGCCAGTGAACTTGAAAAAGTTGGTAGACCATGAAGTCATTCCCACAACTTTGGCATCTTCAAATGCTATTTCACAGGCACCCTACTGTCCTTGGCATTGTCATAAAGCTAGAAAGAATGAATCCAAAATATAGGAAAGCCCCTCCTACACCTGTTCAAATATGTGTTCATATTATCTACTCATACTACTTCCTGCTTTAAAAGAGAGTGTACATACAATAAAGGGTGTGAGTTTTTAAAAGCATAAGTAAAATAAAGATTCTGCCTTAAGGCTGGATCAGGATTATACCTTTATGAAGCAGGCTCAAAAAGTTCTTTATAAAGCCAGGCTACAAAACAGTTTTCGGTAACCACAGACAAAAGATACTACTTTTTCCCAGTGGGGGAAGGTTCTTCTTTTAAAAATCACACAACTCTATAGGTCACATAATTGCTGCCTAATGGCCATAAGATATAGTCTCTATCTGTTCGACTCCCTTTTAAAACAGATCCCTTAAAATGTCCCATGACATACTATAACAAGACATAAAGCTTAAACACAAGCAAATAAATAAGGATTTGTGGTTCTGTATGATGGGCTTCCCCCCCATCCCCCACCCCAAACTAATGTCCTTCTGAATTTTTTTTCTCTGCCATATTTACATACATTATAAAACTATGCTTGAAATTCCCCTCAATAAATATTTATTGAGAATTTATTCTATACAAAATATTGTGGAAAACACAACAAACTTATAGCCAGGAGAAGACAAATGTATTATACAAGTCACTACGCCAGGGGTAGGGAACCTGCAATAAGGGGATTTGTTTTGTGAAGTTTGGATTCAGTCAAAGGACTGCACTTGAGGATCTAGAAGGCCACATGTGGCCTCGAGGCCATAGGTTCCCCACCCCTGGTCTAGAGTATAAGGTAGAATATGTTAAGTGCTACAAGAAATATACAACATGCTGCAGCATATGTTCTGAGGTAAGAGAGTTCATATTTCACTATGGAGGTCAGGTGAGCCTTCTTGAAGGAAATGGCATTAAATGGATCTTGAAAAGTACAGCAAGATGTTGGTAAGCACAAATATAGGGAGAAGAGGATTTTATGTGGTAGGGAACAACACAAGCAGTATCTCAGAGGTGGGAAAGGTCAAGGCATGTTGGGGGAGTAGCGAGTAATTGAACTGGGCAGAAACTTGCATATAAACATGACTAACTACAGTTAGCATTTATCTAGAGCTTTAGGGTTTGCAAAGGGCTTTACCTCATTTTTATCCTCGCAACAATCCTGGAAGGTAGGTGCTATTATTATTCCCATTTTATAGATGAAGAAATTGAGGCAGATAGCTGCTAAGTGACTTACCCAGAGTCATACAGTTAGGAAGAGCCAAATTTGAACTCAGGTCTTCCACTGTGCCACCTAGCTGCTTTAAGGGAATGAATGAACCAGAACGAGGGAAAGTAAGTCTGGAAAGATATACTGGGGTCTTCTTCCCTGATCCCCCTCAGGTGAAGTTGATCTCTCCCTGCTCAGATTTTGTCATAGCACTTTGTCCAGATGGCTCCTTAGTCTTTATTACATTCACCCCCAGATTTTGTGTATTTATATACATATCTTTTGTCATACTTGCTTTATCTTTGGATAGTGTCTCCCTTAGTTTGCCTGTAAGCTGCTGAAGATTAGAAACCACTGTCACTTTTCATCCTTGTCACTTACATAGAAGAAGCACATAGTAAATGATGAATTGAAGAGAATATCATGGAGGTCCTTGAATGTCAGGCTAGAAGAGCAGGACCTTTGTCTTGTAGAATGTATTCCAGAGATTCATGTTATATGCCCTTCATTTTCCCTTTCACACTTGGGATTGTGCTGCAGTAAGCCTTCCTGTGACATGGAAAAGCCTCCTCTGCTCTCTAATGCCTTCTTTTCTATTTCCTTACACTTATACAGATCTGTATGCTCCACAATGTATTGTTCTAGCTAGATTATGGGTCCAAAGTAACCAGAGAATAAACTCTAGAGTGAGCGACTGGTTTTTGGCTTCCTTAACAACAAGATAGGACTCTCAGGAAAGGGAATGGCCATAAACATATTTATCTTATTATAGTGGAATTGGCATTTTATTATGTAAAAGTATGGTAATGAATCATGTATAGGGCAATGAGAAGTTATGGGAGATGTAGAGAGATTTGGAAGGAAGGAAGGAAAGAAGGGAGGGTTGGATGGAGGAGGAAAGAAGGAAGGAAAAAGGGAGGGAAAGAAGGAAGGGAAGAATGAAAGGAAGAGAGGGAAGAATGAAAGGAAGAGAGGGAAGAATGGAAGGGAGGGAGGGAGGGACAGAAGGAAGAGGACAGAAAGAAAGAGAAGGAAAGAAGAAAGGAAAGGAATGAAGAAAGAAGGGAAGGAGGGAAGAAATAAGGGAGGACAGGTGAAGAGGAAGGAAGAAAAGAAGGAAGGGAAAGAAAGAGGGAAGACAGGGAGGGAGGAGAGAGTAAAAGAAGGTAGGAAAGGAAGGGAGGAGAGAAGAGAGGGAGGGAAAAATATTTATGAAGTACCTACTATGTGCCAGACATTGTGCAAAGTACTTGACAAATATCATCTCATTTGATCCTCAGAACAACCTTGGGAAGTAAATGCTCATATTACCCCCATTTTGTGGTTGAGGAAACTGAGGCAGTCAGCAGTTAAGTGACTTGCCCAGGATCATATCACTAGTAAGTGGATGGGGCAGAATTTGAGTTGAAGTCTTCCTGACTCTAGGCCCAGTGCTCTAACCACTGGCTTCAAAACCAAGTATAGGGAAGGAAGTAAGATCCCCCCCCCCTTACTCTTGTCCTTATGGAGAAATCATTATAATTTCAATGGAAAGAGAACCCATAGCCAGGCACATCAGGTTCCAGCCATAACTTCTCTAAGGAGCTAGGTGATCTTGGGCAGGATACTTAACTTTTTCTGGGCCTCCACTTTGTCATCAATGAAATAAGGACTTTGCACTAGACGATCTCAAGTCCCCTCAATCTCTAAACTTCTAGAATTGTCTATTTCCTGATATCTCTCCATCTTTCTCTGTCCTGTCTCTATCTCTGTCTCTCTCCCCTACACCCTCAGCCTCTCTTCTCTGTCCCTTGAAAACGGAGCAAAAAACAATCTAAAACATACCATATTCAAGACTTAAAACAAAACATTCTCTTTTCTAGTATCTTTTTTTCCCCTTTTACATTTGGAACATTTATAAAAAGCTAATTTGAGAAAAGAGGCTGGAGACATCCTCACTGTATTTCAAGGTTTCGGGATGCAGGTCAACAGTACATGTACTTAAAAATCAAGTGAGCAACTTGCCTAAAGCCTTCTGCCATCATCACCAGAAAACCTTTATTAAGCACCAAATTTCACCATAATATTTTCTTATTTAATACTATTTCTCACTGCCTACACACAGGCTCCAATACATTACAAAGAATAAGCCTGCATTCATTTCCTCTCCTGAAGGTTATCTCTTTTTTTCCCCCTATAAATGTTCACCAACCTGGGTGCCAGGAGAAGGAAAAGTTCATCCACAAGAGTTAACTATTTGCGACTATCTATGTCTATGTCTGTCTTTACATATGTGTATGGATATGTGTATATGTATGTATACATATGTATATGTGTATATCTGACTATATACGGTATTTTGTGTGTATACAGTTATACATGTATATAGTTTACATATATAAAATCGTACACACACACACACATTAATCGTTATATATGTAAACACTCCTGGTACAAGAGAGACCTGACCATATATAGGAGAGTCAATTCAGTTGGTCATTCTTATCTGCCCTTGAGAAGCTAAAGTTCTACAATTTGTAGGACCCTGGAAGTCTCCCTCTCTGACATGTTACAGGTTATACAGGCTTTTATCACTGGTGGAGTTAAGTAATTTTATGAGTAGATGGAAAGATAAATTCAGTCATTCCAGTTCTACATTCATTTGGTTTACTCTTAACAACATCAACTTTGTAATTTCCTATCATAAATACACATGCATGTCATATTTTTATCCAAGAACTGGCAATATTTAACTCCTTTGCAATAGCATCTCTATAGGATAAAACACAGTCGACAGGGAATGTTAACTGGGGGAGGTGCATAGTGTCTTTATTAACACAGAGTTCCTGTTCTTTGGAGCTTACAGAGAGAGATCACAAAGCACTCACAGTGCAGACTTGTTGTATGGATGTTATGTTTTTTTGGTAAAATGCTTAGAGAATTCGTGATTTCACTGATGTGGGCACTACCCGTACTAATGCTAATTGCAATCCTTCTATAACTTACTAAAGGTTTCTGAGAGTTTGTACGGTTGAAAAAGTCATCACTGTACAGACAGTTAGGCTGGTTCCCAGGTGAAAGTCTATCACTGATTTGCCTTTAAAAATGTTTTAGTTTAGCAAACCCGCCAAAGCTTGTGCCCTGGGCATGCGCTTTGAGAAGGGGGGGGTGATACCAAGAAATTTAAAAACCAGAGAAAGGCTTGTGATTAGAATTAGAATAGAGGAGATTTAAAAGAGAAATTTTATAGGATAAATTTCACTGCTTCGCTAATACTGAATAGAAAAGTATTGGTGGTCTGAAGAATCAGAGAAAATGGGTATGTAGAAACCAATGGTCACTTCCACACTAGGAAGAAACATCAGAGCAGGACTTGAATGGAGAGTTATATGGCTATCACATAAAACATAAAAGCTACTTCATATGTTAATTTAAACTTCGGGCTTCATCATTACATGCTTCTATTTTCTCATCTGCAGATTTTGTGCTTGTTGCTGGATTAGTCAATTGAAACATACAATGTCTCTGGAAACCACCACCAGCACCACTACCATCTCCACCACCACCACCTCCACCACCACCACCACCACCACCACCACCTCCACCACCACCAGCACCACTACCAGTACCTCTAGGCTCTCCTTGTCATAGAAATAAAATAACTAGAATTCCATTCACATATTTATAGGGCCATGTGAGGAACCTGGCTTTGTTAAATAGTACCTTTTTCAATGTAACCATGATGTCTGGTGCTGAAACTCGACAGGGAATAATCATTTCCTGTCCTTCGGTCATATGTACAGTTTCAGGCATGGTGCTGTAAGGCTCTACAAATGGATGGCCTGTGTCTGAAACGTGAAAAACAAAAACAAAAACAAAATGAGAGTTCTTGAAATAAATATAAAGTATAGCAAATGAATGTGTAGGCTTAGGAAATGAGAATTATCAACGCAATGCCACTCCTGATTCCATACTTCTTTCCTTATGAGTATGCAATATATACATAAACACACATATATGTATATATATACATGTATCACACACACACACACACACACATACTTCATATTTCTGCTGCAAAAATACTTCCTTTACCAGATTTACCCCCTTATCCCATCCTTGTTTCCTTGGTGGGATAAATCAATGGGGAGGGGTTAAGGCAATGTAGAAATAAGTCTCAAAGTAAGGAGGGCTGTGAATGGGGGGCAGGGAAATTTCTGCATAAGTTCCTTGGTATAACAATGCTAAATGAGTCAGGAAATGCCATCCAGAGAGATTGTGAGAAGTCATAGGGGGTCAGGTAAAACAGGAAAGCCATCTTTGTCTGAAGCAAAGATGACAAGAGGCTGGGGGTGATCCTGAGGGATTTACCATTCTGAGTGAAGATTTTGAATTAAATGAGAGTCGAGAATATTTAAAAGAGAAGTTTTGTGGGCAAAATTCTACTGCTTGGTTCGTACTGAGTAAGAAGGTACTGGTGATCTGAGGGAAAACTGAATGAAAAAACCGAGTGGGCAGAAACCAATGACATATATCAACTTTTTATTTAGGATATTTTACCTATCCATGTATAGCAAACTGAGGCAGGGAAAGGAGAGCTGGCTTTAAATACTCAATGAAACACAATTCAAACAATATGGCATAGCTGGTGCCTTCTAGGAAACAACAGCAAAAGATCAACCAGCCTGTCATAGAGCAATGAGGAGAAGAATTAGAGAATATTAGGGCTGGAAGGAACCTCATAGACAAGCTAACCCAACCCCCTTGGTTTGCACATGCCAAAAGTGAGTCCAAGAGAGGTTGACTTGCCCAAGTTCATAAGGCAGTAAAATTGGCTTTGAACTTATTTTCTGATTCCAAATCCAGCGTCTTTTCCCCCCTCCCCATTACAACATAACCTTTGGGGTACTTGTTTTTGAGAAAAAGCATTACAAACCCAAGAGATAGAGCCTCCCCACCCCAAAAAGGAAATACGCAAAAACCAAAAGCTTAGATTTACATATAAAGTAGCTTTTGTGTTTCATGTGATAGCCATAGAACTTTCCTTTCGGGTCCTGCTCTGATGTTTCTTCCTAGTGTGGAAGTGACCAGTGATTTCTACCCACCTACTTTCTCTGGGTCTTCAGACCACTTTATGACAAATCAAAATAAAATTTTCACGTGTTCAGTGTGGAATTCAAATGCCAGATTATACTGTATGGACTACTGAAGGAGGTGAGCCAAGAGAAAGTCATAGAATGCCAGAATTTCAGAGTTGTAAGATAATGTAGAGGTCCTTGAATCCAACCCAAACCTTCACAAGAACCCCTCTACAATATCCCTAGCAAACAGCCATCTAGTGACAAGGAATGTGTGACCTCCCGAGGCAGCCCATTCCATTGGATAGCTCTAGTGGTCAGGAAGGTTTTCCTTAGCTCAAGCCTAAAGTTGAATATTTGCAACTCTGACTCATTACTCCCAGTTCTCCCCTGTGGGGTCAAGGAGAATAGTTTGTTTCCTTTTCTATAAAACAGGCCATCGGGTACTTGAAGACAGCACTTTTCCCTCCTTCCTCCCCTCACCCCACTTCAATCTTCTCAAGGCTAAGTATTCCCAGTTTCTTCAAGTGAGCTTCATTTAGCACTAACATCAGGCTTCCATTACCCTTTGCCTAGCAAGTAAATGCCTCCTAATCCACCTCCCTGCTTCCAGTGTCTCCTCTCTCTAAGTCATCCACCAGTAAGTTAATAAATTGATACTTCTAAAACTCAATCTGACCATGTCACTCACCTACTCAAAAAAACTTCAATGACTACATATTGCTTTTAGGTTAAAGTTAACTCCTAATCCTGGCAATTATGCTTCTATCTACATTTCTAGTGTTATTTCATTTAACTCTTCTCACAGACTTTATTCCAGTCAAACAGGTATACTAGCTATTCGTCATATACACTATTCCATACCTCATCTTTGTGCCTTGGCATAAGTGGTCCCAGGAATACACTTATCTCTGTTTCATGGAATCTCTACCTTCCTTCAAAGTACAGGTCTATCAAATCCGGCCTCAGATCAGACACTTGACACTTACTAGCTGTGTGACCCTGGGCAAGTTACTTAACCCTGATTGCCTCACCAAAAAGAAAAAAACAAGAAAAGAAAACAAAATTCAGGTTTACAAGGCCTTTCTTGATCCCCTTCTCCCTACCCATCATACTTTAAATTTCCTTTTTTTTCACTTTCCATGCATTTTTTTTATTTAATTGTATATAAGTTATATTCTTCCCACTCCCTTTGAGTAGAATATAAACTCATCTAATAGCCTTCTATTTAGACTCTTTACCTCAAGTTTCATTCCACTTCAATTCATCCTTCACACAGCTACTCAAACAATTTTCCTAAAGTTCAGCGTGACTGTATCCCTCTCCTCACTCAATAAATTCCAATGGCTCCCTGTTTCCTCTAGGATCAAACATATAAGCTCTTCTGCTTAGTTTTGAAAGTCCTTCTCTTGTACCCAGCATTGTTATGCCTTACTACTCATCCTACCAGACTGGCCTTTTTCTCACAAAGTACACTTTATCTCCTGCCTCCATGCCTTTGTATTTGCTGTTTCCCAGGTCTGGAATGATCTCCCTCCTCACCTTCACCTCTAAAACCCAGATCAAGTTCTGCCTTCTACACAAAGCCTTCCTTCACCTCTAAAACCCAGATCAAGTTCTGCCTTCTACACAAAGCCTTCCTTCATCTGTAAGATGGGTATGGTCATATTAGACTAGCTACCTTTCAGGGCTGCTGTTGTGAGGAAAGCATCTTATAAATTTTAAAATATAATAAATGTGACCAGCTAATAGTATTATTACCGTGCTGATGATTTCACATAAGCTACATATTTTAGTAAAGTTTAGTTTTGGGTGGCATGCCAGAAACTCATAAAATGCCATAGTTAATGAAGCTGTTTGCTTATTAAGAAAGTTTTGTGTGCTTGCTCATATATGCAGAGAAGATTTTTTTTTAACACTGAAGTAGGAGTCACTTATCAGCATTAAATTCCTTCTCTAAATAGATTTGCTGAGCCAGTCATTCAGGCAGTGACTATTGGGATTTGATCATTCCTTTCCTTCCTACTGTGAGTCTATATTTTTGTCTCCTTTGTAAATCCCAAGGTAAATGGAAATGTCAGGAAATGGTTTAATTCATTAAACTAAACTGTAAATCCTTCACTTATAATTGACTGTCTCCTTAAGTAATCATCCTCAACAAAGGCCACTGGCATAAGGAGTTCCTACAGGAAACAGTAAACATTTTTGTGGTTCTTACCAAACTGAGTGCCAGTCCCCAATGAAAATAAGGGAAGGTTGATTCAATGCCTCTTTAAATTTGTTTCCTTTTCTTTATCACTTAATGGGACTCTTTCAAAAATGTAAACCTTATTACATCTCACTTAGCCATACTTTAAAAAAAACAGCTATATAGTCCTAGCACCAGGGTCCTTGTAATTACAATGCCAGAACTTCAGATTTATATCCACTCCAACAAAAGTCCAAAAGACAACATTTAAAAGACATAGGCTAGTGTCATAATCCATTGTGTTGTTACATGAGCTTATGACTGCACATGTAACAAAAATACTCTGTGGACTTGTTAATGGTACATTTGCTTTGCAATTTGATTCAAGAAAAGACTAAGAATGAACCTGCCTGCCATGCTATAACACAAAACTTTTTTTTTGTTTGTTTTGCAAAGACCTTAGATATGGAAAAGGTCACTGCTCCTTTAATATCACCAGTGAACCCACTTACGGCTCCCTCAGGACTCATTTATCTTTGCCATGAAATTAAAAATGACTTCCAAAACCAGCCAGCAATACAGAGCGATTTCCTGAATCCACATCTCCTAACCATTTCAAGAGTGAGGAAGAGCTGCTCCAAAGACTACCGGTGTCCTGTTGGCTCAGACTCACTGTCACCAAAGGCCCATGCCAACAGAGATCTAGATGGGGACCATACTTACCATAACCTCTCTGAACTCTCCAAGCTGAAAGCAGGGACAGGAAACTGGCACCAAATGTTAAGATTTCTCACCCAGAAGTATCAATGCTGCCACTCACCCTTTAATCCACAGGCAGGCTCTGAAACAGGCAAAGATCAAACGGGTTCCTGCTCCTATGAATGGAATTAGGATCTATTTTTTAAAGACTTTTTTTTCTTTCTGAATCTGCAGTCACGGTGCCACTAGGTTAAAAGTATTCAGACATAAAGGGTACAGATACTACCTTCATTCCACATAGAATTCCCACTGACATCAGCTGGGAGTTCCGTTACTCTGCTCAGGGCGGTGGGTGGCACAAAGCATTTAGGACATTTTCCTGGTTTTGATTAAAGGGGATCCAACAATAAACATCTTATTTCCTAGCACATTTATGTTCTTACAGTTTTTGTAAGGCTTTCTCCTGATTCCCTTTGATTTCATTTTCCTTTCCTCTTCTTAGCAGGCATAAGGGCACCTAATGATTATTTTGAGGATGGGAGTTGGTTTCGTCTTTGAGGGTAAGGGGTAGAAATAAACGAACACCCTCCTAGAAGACAGAAGTACCCAGGTGGAAGAATTCTCAGAGCATAAACCCTCAAAGACTGGTCTATTGAATCCTACCTACATAATATCTAACACTATGTTGTCTGTACATAGATGCTAAATGAAGGATTTTAAATTGATTGAGGTAAAACTATTCTTTAAAATATGAGTTTAAAAAAACAAAAATATGCTACTTGCAACAGAATCATTACTATTTATTTTGAAAAGTCTGTTGGTTACAACTTGACTTATATAGATTATAAGACTCAATTCTACAATTATTCAAAATCATTTAAGT